TTTACACATTCCTTATGTTCAATTAATTTTTTGTATTCAATACATATTTTATTAATTTGTAAATCGCTTGTGTATGTTTAAATGTCATTCAATTTGATTCATGATTTTATTGTTCCCTTTTTAAACAAAAATTGTTTTCACGTTGTTATAAATTTACATAATATTTCTGATGCAGTGAAAACCTAAATCAATAATTTAGAAGATTTTAAATAGATAGTATTTCATAACACAGTACATACCCTTTTAACAGTATTTTTAGTATAAGATCACAAATTAGTAATGCGTAATACGCAACTGTCTTCATTACGCAACATAGTTTATACATTTTAAAACTACTCGCATACCCATCCATTCAGTTACTATACTCAAGGATTCAAAAATAAATTTTATTTCGTAAAAATAAGAAATGGTATCGTGTTGAATTACAAATATAAATCCTATAGTCTAAATTTATGTACAATTACATATCTACTATGAATGTCAACTAAAAACTCAAAGAGTATATTTTATAAATGTTGACGGAGCAAATAGGATGATGTATAATTATCTTATGTTTAACAAAGAGATAGAACAGTTGAAAATGTGGAAATGTGGTCATTCAAAAAATTTAGAACTTAAAAAGTTTATTTTTAATCTATTATGGTATCTTATGCTATTCATGAAATTTTAGAAGGCTTTGACTTAGTAAATGTTTTTAGATTGATTTTATTTATACTTACATCTACCTTATCATTACCGTAAAAAGTACTTATAAAGTGAAACATCTACTATTTTGTTAATTATACAGAATTATGTATATGTAACTGATTTATATATTTTGTACATATTATCAAAATATTAGACCATATAATACACTATTCAGTAATAAGAGATGCAATGAAATAGTTTTAAAAATTATCCATTTTTATGTCAAGGCAAGAAAGCACTTCATATTAAACAAGACTTTTAATGTCAAAGTATTAGCAACAAACTATCATCCTTATATGCTCCAATTTATCAGTCTGCCACCAATAGCCAGCACTAACATTCTTTGTATATTATTTGAAGTAACTGGTATTGATTACCATTGAATGTCCATTCGAAATTCACAGGTTTATAGAATTACATAATTTTACATAAATTCACATTCACTCATCTGTTTCCAGAGATTATAACAGTTCATAACATTTAACACAATTCTCACATAGTTGCTTCGGTTTTAAGACGTTTACAAGATTTCGTTGCATCCTCCTGCAGAACACAGTCATTACTTTCTTCCGTGGGTACAGATGGTGACAATGACCTTTTAGCAGTATATATTTCAGAAATATTACTGTTCGTTACGTCATCAGTCGACGGTTTAAATCGCACTATTACAGCTGTCATATTGTCACATCCTGTGCCATCTCCACAGGTGTCAGGTGCAAGACAGTGGTCAAATAGCTATAATGTAATACTTTGATTAGTATCTAATATAAACTACAAATTAAGATAAGAGAGGAAATAATCAACATATGTTTTCTACCTCTTCACAGATTTTTGACAGCTTATCATAATTGTATGTCAAACGAGTATGAATAAATTGTACAACATCTTGACTTGACATGAAGTTCCAAATACCATCACAAGCAAGTATCATGAACTCATCTTTTTCTGGTTCAACTGCAATATGCCTCACATCAGGAAGTGCAGAAATCATTTGTTCTTGTGGTGGTACATCTACATTTTGCTTGTAAGCATGGTCCCCAAGTGCCCTTGATAAATTAAGGCCACCATTTACTCTACCATCAGCAGTAACTTTTCCACCAGCTTTTACAATACGTTTCATTTCTGGTTCATCTTCAGGTTTATGATCTAAGCTAAGTTCAATTGCCTGACCATCTCTACATAAAACACAACGGGAGTCTCCAGCATTTGCCACATACAAGTCATTGCCCTTTAATACTGCAACTACTGCAGTACATCCACTATCATAACCTGGCTGTATAAATTAATGTCCTATGTTATTTAATTTTTAAAAAAAAATGAAAGTATAATTATTTTCACAGTATTGTGAATGGAAATAGTATATTTCATTATAAAAATATTTCTAGCATTTTCTAATAGTATTTATAAATATAATTTGTAAAGGAAGTGTCATACCTCTTCTGTATCCACCATAAGGGCTCCATTATCTTCATCGTCATCAATATTACCATCTCCATCTTCATCTTCCTCATCTTCGTCTTCATCACTCTCATCTTCGTCAATATCTTCTGTGTCATCTTCATCACTAAAACTGTATAGTAAAAATATAATATAAAATTCATATTGGTGATTATGACTTTACATAAAACAGAGTTTTTGTGCTTTTAAAGTGTTTCTACCTATCTGGAACTCCATCAAATGTTTCATCAGTTTCATCATCATCTTCTTCAGAATCCTCATTATCTTTTTTAAGTAGAGTATGATATAAAGTAACTGGTTGAATTCTTCTTCTACCAGTACTGGTTATTCGTTCTTGTTGACCTGCATCTCCATTTTCTAACGGAATGCATGAACTGCTTGATACGTTATCACCCCCACCCTTACTACTATCTGCATCTCCAATTTGCTTTGATTCTGCACCATTTAATTCTACTTCATTTACATTTGATTCTGCACATATAATTTTACCAGGGCTCGAAACCTTCTTATTTATATCTTCTGAACTATCAGGCATATCTGCACTTTTCATTGGTTCTATATCCACTGTTGATCCCACTGGTGGTGATGCATGTACATTTCCATTACTAGTAGTTGAATCAAGAACTTGTTCAGCCTCATTGTTTCCAGGGCATTCTGATTCCTTTCTTTCTATGGAACTAGACAAAACTGACCCACATGGTTGGCTAGAACTGCTCACATCAGTTTCATTTGTATTCCACGAAGATGAAGATGATGAGCACCCTGCACCAGATGATGTAGAACTTGCTTTTTCTCTACCTTTTCGACCTCGTAAATAAGGACTTGCGGAACAAGCTCGTTTATTGCATTTCTCATTTTTCAGGTTTTTTATAGTTGGAGTTGATTCTGACTGATATTTTGCCATAACTTCTTCCAGTGGCATTGTTGCCTCCATACATAGATTATTAACATTTTCTTCTTCATCTATGTGCCATGTAATGTATGAAGACAACTTTATTAAATATATCTTTTTACAAAAAAATAGGTGAAACAAACTAATAATTATAAAGCATAGTAATTAATGGTAAAGTTTATATGAATATAATTCATAAGCAAATGTATTTTGAGTATAAAAAGAAACGCACCAGATTCATTTAAGTCATCTTTTTTTTTGTCTGAAGTAGATGTTCCTGCAAGCTCTTTAAGAATACTAACTACTTCAGGTTTTTCAAGTGTGGCATCGAAACCTAGAAAGGCATCGATCAAAGCTTGTCTAACGTCTCCTTTTTTATATGCATCAGTTTGCTTAATAAAATCTGGGAGATTACGTGCACAGTAAGTTGCTACTTCATGGCCACCATGACCATCATATACAGCAAACAATGAAATATTTTCATCAAAATCTATGCAACAATTGTGTGCATCCTACAAAGGAATAATTACTTTGTGAATGGATATAGAATACAACTTAAATACATTCTAATTAATATAGATGTAAAAAATTTTTTTACGTTACATCTCATACATATTTAATACTATAACTGACTTTATAAATATTGAGCAAAATGTCAGGGTGCAATGTACAATAAAATTATTGTTGACTTTAATACTACATACATGCATATTTTAAACACTGGTAAATAAATGTTTTTAATGAACAAGATATATTAGGGAATCAATAATAACACATAATAGATCATATTGTATTATCAAAATATATACTCTAATATTTCCTAATTGCTTTATAAAATTTTGTGTTTGTCACACTTTATTATTCAAAAAGTAGCTAAGTTAATCTAACAACAAAAAGTTACAACGCTAACCTCACATGGATAACTAAATACTGTTCTGGACAGAATAAGATTGACAGTTATATTTCTTATTTATTTTCAAATTGCAAAATCAAAGAATAATATGAAGTTTTAGATATTTGTATTAAAAGCAATAACAAGTTGTCACATTTGCATAGAACACAGATATATTGATAGATGATAAAAATTTTCATTTCCAGAACAATTTTGAAGTACGATGATGAATACAAACTTTGTAACAGTACTGTTACGTTCACACACGAAACGTCGAAGTATTCTTGTTACATTCAGCATTGTATTTTTCGTTCCCGAATCGAACAAGCCGAATTTCGCGCTTCGAGATATGGATGAATTACGTTTGCAATGAATCGGAATGGATGTCGTAATACTCTGGCGAAACGGTGAACCGGCAAACCGTTCTCTGACCGAAACGAAACTGGGTAACGGTGCACTGGCCGCTCAAGGGTTTTAGCTTACCTCTTGACTAATTCGCCAGCCTTGCATGGAACTCGCGCCGAATGCGACATTCTTGCCTACTTCATCGCTTGACACTTTCTTTGTAATCGGTTCTGACAAGTATGCACCCATTTTCGTTTAAACCGGCGATCTTTCTGTCGATTTTCTGGCGTCCGCGTAAATATCACAATATCTCGGTGAAATTACCATTTACAAGCGCGGTGTACAGTCGTTAACTAGCCTCCATGACCGGTTTGGGTTTCTGTTTTCACTACGCTGCTAGCTCCATCTAGTCCGCCACTTTTCTTTCATGCGCACTGCGTTTTCGCGCCAAACTTTCGACGATTTTTCGTTGCTATGAAATGGTGCTCTGTGGTGGGTGTGTGAAAGTGTAACATTTTGAACGCACTAAGATATTTTCGAATAATTTTAAAATATAATCAACTACGAATGTACATAATTTAACATTTCTTTTACTTGAAGAAAATTCGTACATTTATTAAAAAAACAAACAGTGAATTATAAAGTAATCAATCAAGGAACGAAATTGCTATTTCCAATAATTTAGATTTTGTTTAATGTTTCAAAATCAATAACTATAATACGAAAATGAATTTTTGAGTTCATGTATACATATAATCTCATATCTGTATTTGTTAACTTTGATAATGAAATGAAGAGAAATATAAATAGAAAT